AATAAATACTAAATAAGTCATTACAAATATACGAAAGTAGGTTTGAATCCATCCCAGTTTTATGGGAAAATATTACATAATGGGAATGTTTAACAGTTACGGGAAAATATAAGTACATAATAAGGATTAAAATTATGGCCAGCTCGGATCTCCATGGATATCGGTAAAAAGAAGCCTGACCAAAAATAATTTCAAGTTAACAATTGAAAAAATATTAAAATAAACCATAAAATATATTATATATATATTAATACCAATTAGAAAAATTACCAGTCAAGATAATCAAAAACCTCTTTTATGTGAGGATTGAAAAGTATTTCAGAATGGTCTCCAGCATTCCTTATGTGATATCTTCCTGTATGATTTTAAAATATAAAGAGATTACATGTTAGAAGCCAAATTATCATATTAACAAAGTGGAATTGAATGTTTCCACTCGAATATAAAATTTAATTACTAACTTTCAGAATTATAAGTCAGACGAAACATGCGCAAAGTCAAGACTGTTTCATAAGTACCTATGTCTTCCCACTTCTTCCAGAAATCCAAAGCAGTCTTCCCAATGAGTGTTATGTCCATATCAACATAATTAAACCAAAAAATTATATTACCACAACATTAACAAAAAATATGTACAATACAGTAAAACCTCTATAAATTAATAAAGTCGGGACCATGATATTTTATTAATTTATCTTGATATTAATTTATCTATAAATTAATAATTATTAATTTATAGAGATAATGTTTGTGTACTTAATTAATATACATTTTTTAATTCCTTAATTTTTTATACTAATATTCCATATTTTTATGTTAATATATGAAGCAGCTTTCTTCAATTTATGTTAGTATTCCATTTTTTTTAATTCTTATATTTTTTCCTTTTTTTTCATCTTGCACGTGAGAAAAACTTTTGGTTGTCCTTATATACTCTTCTTTGGTTTTTAATTAAGCATTAGGTCTTCTTTGTTCGATATTCCATCCTCTTTTTTTTCCACCAAAAACAATGGCTCCACATCTAAAAGGTGTTTCAAAATAAACGATAACAGATCAAATACGTAAAGAATTATGTGAGTACAAAAGAGATCATACAACTTGCACTCAAAAGGACTTGCAATCATTTAAAAATTAGTCAAGGTACCATCTCCAACACACTTAAACGATCATCTGAATATCTTTCGAACAACTTGGAAACAGGAAAAGATATCAAACGACATATACCAGCAAAATTTTCAGAGATGGAAAAAATTCGTTTTGAATGGTTTCTCCAATATGAAGAGCGAGTGAACATGTCTGGAGAGCTAATTTTGGAGAAAGCAAAAGATACAATGAAACTTGTATACCCTGAACAAGATTCTGAGCACCAATTTTCTCAAGGCTGGCTTGAAAAATTCAAATCACGACATGGTATCAAGTCTTTTCGTCGTTTTGGAGAGAGTGGTTCTGTTGATGTTCAAGACATGGAGAAGAAATTGGAAGCTATAAGGGAAAAAAATAGACAAATTCCCTATGAAAGATGTTTTTAATATGGATGAAACTGGTTTGTTTTACAGATTACAAGCCTGATCATCCTTGCTACACAACAACTTGAAGGAAAAAAACAAGACAAAGAAGACTAACTGTTGTTATTTGCTGCAATGAGGATGGATCTGAAAAAATTCCTTTATGGATTATTGGAAAATATGCAAAGCCACGTTGTTTCAAGAATGTCAACATGGATGGCTTGAATTGTCACTACCGTGCCAACAAAAGAGCTTGGATGACAAGTGTGCTTTTTGAAGAATATATTTGATGGTTTGATAAGAGAATGCATGGTAGAAAAGTTCTGTTTGTGGTAGATAATTGTCCAGCACATCCAACAAATATTGAAGGATTGCAGAATGTTGAGCTGTTCTTCTTACCACCCAGTATGATATCAAAAATTCAACCTTGTGATGCTGGAATAATAAGAGATTTCAAGATGCATTATCGTAGGAGATTTTACCGTGAGATTTTGGAAGGCTATGAGTTGGGACAATCTGATCCAGGTAAGATTAATAAAAAAATTTATGGCTTCAAGAACTCTTCACAAATTTTGGATGCAGACTGAGAAGACAACACAGAAGTTGTTGATGCAATAAAAAAAATTAGAGATGAGCTTCAACAAGATTCTAACTTTCAGAAAAAGCAAACAACAATAGATTCATTTTTCTAGATTACCTTAGATATATTTACCTAAAATTTATAATTATTAATTTATGTTTTTGTTTGGACCATATTTTTACATAGGGGTTTTAAAAAAAATATTATCTTATTATCTTATCGAATGTGATGATTTTTTACATTGGCCCAACTCGGGACCAGAGAAATTTATTAATTTATAGTGATTATTAATTTATCGAGTAATAATTTATAGAGGTTTTTGTGGGAGAAAGATACTCAATGGTACAATAGCGAGGCATGTTTGAAGAAAATGGTTGTTTTCCTCAACCTTTACGTTTTTTTTTGTTAAGATGGCGAGACGTTTTTTTACTTGGTCCTTTATATGTATAGCAAAGCAAGTATAGGGTTTGAAAGGTTGTGTCGTTTTGTAACATTAGAATAAATTGCAACCTTTGACATTTGTTGCACTACGTGAATTATGAACAAACCAAATTGGTTACATTCAATGCATAGGTATATTTAACTTTTATATTGATTAAATATATATAGAAAATATGTAAAGATAGTAGAAAAATGTCATATCTTGTACTGACTACTTCTCTTTAATTAAATCAATTACTTCATTTCATTAATTACAAACAATTAATGAGAGTACAATCCCAGAATTATGTACTCTATTTTTTTAATACAGACACAAATCACGGACCATACAAATTTTGAATATCATAGTTATTTTTTGTTGAAAACAAATAGAGTACGATTCAAGATAAATGCTAACACAATTAAATTGTTTGGATAAGTTATCTCAATCAGAATAATATATAAGTTAAGATTTTCAAGTTTAACACTATAAAAATAAGAAATAGAAAACAATAATCTATTTTACTGGATGGTCTTCATATTCATCATGGACCGGAGGAAAATCAATGGAAGTTGCAAGCCTGAAATAATATTAGGATTTTCTATCATCATATGTATATATTTATAAATATTAAACTATAGGATATAATATCAAAGATGGAATAAACATACCTCAACCTTGCTCTTTCCACTTCTGGGGGTAGGAGGATCCTCGAGAATATCAGATATGAATCTTTCTGATTCAACTATCCACTCATCTAAATACATAGACATACTCAGTATATGGGAAAAATATATATGTAAAACTTATAATTAATTAAAATATCAAATAATGAGGTAGTTAGTTACCTCTCCATCTAGTGAAAGAGAAAAATCGCAATACAATAATATGCCTAGAAGACCTTTCACGATTCCTCCAAAGTTCTTCAAATTTCCTTGCTAAGTTATCCCAAGAAATACATTTCAAAGATTCTCCACTGTATATTTAAATCAGTTATAACATTACTAATATACTTTAAAATTTTCAAACAATATACACATAACATATGTTTGAGGATAAGTTGTACAGACCTGAAATCTTGAATTTTAAAACGAATAAGTGGACGTTGCGTGAGTGTGTCCGATATATCGGACATAGGAACTCTGAACTGAAGTTTCTGAACAAATGTGACAACATCGAGAAGATCAACTGCAAAAAAAAACTGCATTTAAATACATGTTGGACTTCCTTACATAAACGATTTAAAATAAAAAGTTGTAAGAAACATACCAAGATATCTATCTGTATGAATAAATCTATATAAAATATTCATGAATGCACAAAAAGAGTATATTCCTCTGGACGACTTTGGATCGGTTTTCTCAACAATGGTATCCTCGATGAAATGTATATGATAGTTGTTTGATGATATACTTAGACGAATCACTCTGTCAGTAACTTCAAAATTACCAAGAAAAACCCAATCTCCTTCAACCAATGCATACTCAAATTTGTCCATTATATCATATTGAATAGTAGACAGGATGCGATTGCCCTACAAGGTTTATCAAAATAAATAACTAAGAAATTCATTCCTAAAACATATATACGGTAAATATTTTCAAACCTCCAAAACTTACAAATTCATCCGCAAGAACTAACATCCGATTAGGCCGATCGAAGAAAGTATAATCATAATAATCTCTTAGTATCTGTACACAAATACGATATCCGCCGTTTGTCTTCTGAAGATCGGAAACCCTTTCACAAGGACACATTCTTTGTTTTAATTTTTGTTAAGATTGAAGATGAAAGAGAATAAGGAAATGGATAGTTTTCTATGTGATGGAGTAAAACGGTTATGGTTTTAATGTCATCTTAATTGAAACTCTCATTTAAATTTATGACAGTTGGTTGAACCCAAAATTTTAAATCACAAATTAAAGTTTAAAAAAATTAAATTAGGAAAACAAATTGTAGGGCAAAATTCTAGTTCCACAATTAAATAAAAATATGCAAAAAAAAAAGTTCCACAAATACCGCAAAAAAATTAAATTAGCTTCTTATATGAAGGAGTGAGTGAAGGTTCAGACGATGGATTCTCAAGTTCGTCAGAACTCGTAAGGATCATCGTCAAAACTCATAAGGAGTATTTATTTAAACTACTCATATTATACTTCTATTTTTTGATGCAAATAAATTAAAATGTATAACATGTGACTGACGAACATAGTATGCAAAACCCAAACATATTTTATTAATAATTCAAATTCTAGAAACAATTAACTAACCAGATCCAAAAAAATATTCAAATGCTCAAAATACTAAACCAAATATTGGAAAAGAGAAAGTTATTCAATAAAAATTGAATAATAACAAATTCATAAACTCCAGAATATATGGGATCACATCTTCTCATTTTTTCCTCCCTCTTTGCCAACGACTTTACCATCACCACGTCCTCAAGTTCGTCCCTTTGCAACACCTTCATTGGATTCACTTGTAAGAAGAGCGTTCACCAAACACCATCACTCTTCAGTATATCCTCATCAATCACTTCATTAGCATATGTTGTTTCCACACTATTCCCACTATTACATGACTTCTTAGACGATGAGGATGAGTCGACTGAATCTTTAGGATCATCACGCTCACGCTTTGATAAAGGAGTTTTGATATTGCCAGAAACATCATCCGAAGACTCTTGGCTATATGTGTTCATCAGTGATGCCTATGAATAATAAATTTTCAAGATATAGTATTGTCCCATAAATAAAAAAATAAATTCACAACTATACGAATTTTACCTGATCGCCAGATATAAGTAAACTCTGATCACCCCCATCTTCAGATTCATTCGCATCATCAACGGTGGTAGTCAAAACCTGATTGCCTTCCCAAACATTTCCAACCTTGTATGTATTACTACCACCATAGAGCTTTTCTTTCTCAACACAAATTAGAAACTGAAAAGTCTTCCCAACCAAGTTTTGCAGTGCATCAGGAACGACATCCGGATCTTGTATCTATGTTGAAAAATAATAAGTATTTGGGAAATGATTTTTTAATATAAAACTAATTGAAATAAAATATGTAAAGTATATAATAACTCATCATATGTCCCTTTTAAAATTTCATCAGCAGATTGGTTAACAATATCCTTTGCATTTGAATCAAAAAGAAAACATTTGATCTTGCTCGTGTTGTCCATTACACAAAGATGGAGTTTGTATCTACAATATAATTTAAATGTAAACATGTGAGTATATGTTTTTGGCAAAAAATTTGTTATTTAGTAATTTATAAAATTTGGTTACCTCGCACTGACAGATGAAACTTTGGCATCACATGTTTCACATGAATAAAGCTTCTTAGTTTTATCACAAAATTTCTCGTCTTCGCGTTTTGGGATTTTGTATACCTTTTTCCCACACTTAGTGTAAACCAAGTAAAACCATGACCATTCTGTATCAACGGCGTATACAGTACACATGATTTTACATTTCCCAACCTGAATATTTAACAATATAACAGTCACCATAATTGCATAAACTCTATTGATAAATTAACACATAAAAGTTAAAGTTTGAGTTATACATTTAATTTAGTCGATACCATATATAAGGTTTTATACCCTTTAAGTATTTTATGTTATTAGTTTTATATTAAAAAGTCATTTCCCAAAGACATATCATTTTATCAACATATAATAAAGTTATGGCAACTTTGTTATATACCTTCAGATAATCTTGCAGTTCAGCAATAGTCACCATTGGAAACTGATCAAAATTACTCTCATCATCATAAGAAATCCTCTGATGTGGCTTGCTACTCAAAAAAGTAATATTTCTGCCATTTGCAGGTAAACTTCATATGGGAAAACAATTATTATTAATAATCACATTGTCAAAATTTGTGTTTGATATATAAATAAATGGTTTACCTATTTTTGAAATCAATGACATCTGGATCGTTAAGATCTATGAGCACCTTAGAGGTTTGAAAAGAAATGGTAATTTGACATTCACCTATGATAATTTAAACAAATAATCAAAATGCATTGTATTTTATGTTGAAACAGTAATTTTGTAATTAAATATTTTTACCTCTAAACACATTGATTTTCCAAAACGGATTACAATGATGACCCCACGTTCGCCTACATTCTGACAAGCCGAATAGACTTGCTCGCCAAATGTACCCTAAAGTGTGCATGGTAAGCGCTCCTCTCTACATATAATACGGTTCAACTAGATTAGAGTAAATATTTAAAAGAATAAAAAATAACGTAAACGTAGTAAAAAATAACGTTAACCGTATATACTCACTTCGCATTACACAAGTCGAACTCAAGCTTGCTTGTGTGCTTGTCATGACAGGGATTGTTTCAGATTCACGTACACTTTCAACTCATGGCCAATAACATCTGGTATTTTGAAAAATGACGTCAAGTGAATACGTATATAAATGTAATAAACTAACTATATAGATAAATGGAAACTCACCGATCAAAAAACTTGTACTTGTGGAATCGTTCAAGATTGTATCATAATCTAAGAACTCAAAAAAATTGACTGTCAGATCGATTAGCACTTTTGGTGACAACGGTGGATGAAATGAAGGACATCTTGAATTGATGCCTTGTGGCCCGGTATTGACCGGACGCCTGGTTCAACAAAAAGTTCTCGATGAACTTCCATTCACCGACAACCATCAACCGCTCAAAATGATGCAAAATGTTTTTCTTGACGGTGGCGTGGATTTTGATACCCTAATAACAAATGTTTATAAGTAAACCATTAATAATTAGTAGTACAAAAATGTAATTACACATTCACTTGATCATACTATTTCATCTGCGAGAATTATTTCGAGAGACTCTCCACTCTTAGTCTGGTATTGCTTCCAAGTGTTAAGCACCTTCACTTGCACCTTCCACCCAGTCTTGAATGGCTTTAAGTCAGCCAAAGGGGTTAACCTCATGTTGGAAGCCATTGCAAAGAATTGAATTGAAGTAAAAGTTGAGAAAGTTGTAGTTGATGTAGAGTGAAATGGAATACGGTAGTGTCGTATTTATAGTGAAACAGTATAGGGTTTTCACAATACCGTTGAGCTATATGTAATCTGGCGGCCAAATATATTTTTCTCAATTAAAATTGAACACAATATTGATTGAAAATAGTGAATCCTACATTTTTTTGTAAAGTAGTTGTTATTGAGTATCTATACGGTGATCCGAAATAAATGGGATGGTATTCAATAACAAACTAATAGAATATTCTCATAGATTGAGATTTAGCAATAGCTCAAAATAAAATTTCCGGATGTTATACAATGCCGTTAAAAGGGAAGATACATTGGCGGCTAAATATATAAGTTCAATTTAAATTAATACAATATTTTGGCAAATAACTAAATACGTCATTTTTGGAAGTTGTTATTATTGTGTTAATAATCGGGTATGCGAGAAAAAAGATTTGAAGATTTATATATTTTCTCTTATATTTTGAATTCAAGATTCTCTCATGCGTAAAATGTTCTTAATATGTAAATATATTTATTGCGATATCTATTTCATTTATCCCGACTATGAAGAACTAAATATTTCAAAGGGATTACATTTTCAAAAATGATAAATTGCCTAAAATAAGAAACGGGTCAATATTAAAGGATTTTCGTCCTTTTAAACTGGTCAAAATAAAAGACGTGGATCCTCTTTGGTTTCAGTTTTTTTTTTTTGTTCGTGGAATACATTTTTTACAATTGTATTTTATGTAATATAACACATAATACCGAGGTCAATTTCCTAAATGTACTTTTCTTTTAATATTATAAAATGATGCAATTTATAAATATATCATTAATATTTATTTATATTCTTTAATAGGTTTTCTTTAAATTTGATTAATTGTTTATTTTGATTGCATATTTTTAAAAAAATATATAATATGGACCAGGTCATCGTTGGAGAGACTCACTTCAACGGTTCAACCATTATATATAATATTTTAGTTTGTAAATGAAGTTAAATCACCTAATTTCTAATCAGTCACGCCCAATTTTGAATCATTTGCGTCGAATCCAACAAAGATGACGAAGCTATGGCGGACCAACTCATAGACGAGCAGATCTCCGAGTTTAAGGAAGCCTTTAGAGGATGGTGATGGTTAAATCTCTTCTCACACCACCTTTTTATATATATATATATATATATATATGTGTGAATCTGCGAGCATATCTCGTTTTTCTTCCATTTTCATATGCAAACTGCAATCGATGATTATAAAATGATAGAGCCATGAATTTGAGTCGATACTCGCTTTAGATTCGGTGTATCCTCTCTGAGTAGTTTTTGTTGGATTCGTTTTTGCTTTTTGATCTTGTCGAGCATCTTCTCCAAATGACCAGAGCTTCAACGAGTATGGTGTCTCTAACTTATTACCCACCATCTCCTCTTCCTACGAAGAAACCAACGAGTATCATTGTCAGAACAGAAAGCTGAAACCAAAACCAGCAATTACGAAAACAACGGCGAGGCAAGAAGCCCACGATAACTCAGATCGAGCTAGCATTTGGTGCTGGATCGTATCATGATTCTGAAGGTATTTACAAAGAATCATGATTATGAGATTCAATCATTGTAATTCTCACTTCGTAAGCTCTGAAATTTATTTCCTGTTTTTTTTTTCCTGAAAGGGAACTGGGTGAGAATACAGTATTCGAGAAATTGGATCATGATAATAATTTCGAAGGAAAACTTAAGAAGAAGCTTACGAGAGATCGGAGAAATGTTTTGTTCCTACGGTTAGTTTATTTCTCTCAAAAATCGTCTTCTTGCTATTATAGTTTGAGTTAGCAATAATCCCCTTCCTAATGACATCATCTAATTTCCATAATCCTGATGATTGATGTTGCAGGTAAACCAGTTTTGTAAAAAATCATTCATTTTCTCCAAAAGATGGAGAATTCTGTTCCCGCTCATGAATCTTCTCTTCGCTCCACAACATCACCTCGATCACTCAGATTTCATGCATCTTCAATCAAGGTAAAATACAGAGACGAAAAAGGAGGGACAAGTTTCAGGAAAGCTTCAAGGCCTTTGTTGATAAAACCATGTCTCTACAAAGCAGCATCAAGAAATTCTCACTAAACTGACGACACAATCTTAACGACATGGCTCAGACTAACTGATGGGTATCCACTGTATTAGAACGAGGCGTCTTGAATCTGTGAGCCACCACGTTCTCTTCCTTCCATTGTCTTCACAAGCAAGACGCTGGTTAAACTGACATTAGGAACAGAGCTTTGTGCCGGAGACAGATCTCCAAAAGTGTTTCTTCCACTGCTAACGTATCTCTTCCTCAATACAGTTTTAAGTCTTAGAGAATGATTTTTACAATATTTAGGAAGCCATTACTAAATGTATAAGAACCTGTACCAAAATTTGACGAATGTTTTCTTCAAGGATTCTTGAAAAGTTTATGAATCCTTTCCAGAGTTTTTCAGATTTGTCTCTAATTTATTTAATGAAAATCATCTCTTTAACACATGTTTTGCAGAAATCTTAAGCTGGATTATCTTGATCTCTAATTCATTGGACGGTTAGCTCAAAACCTGGTTGTAAGTTTTTTTTTGGTTATAAGTTTCCAATTGAAGAAATGAGTTATGACATTGGATTATGAAGCAATTTTGTCAGAGATGATACTAAAATGGTTTTTCGTAGACCCAGTTGAAATTAACTTATTGCTCCAGAGTTTTTGTCGAGAAAAAGAACATACAAGGCCATAAAATTCATGGATTAGTGTCTGAACAAGAGTTGTGCTATTAATGTTGTGAATTTGACTAAATTAATTCATGCTTTTCATTGTTTCTTATTGCAGTTCATTGTTTCTTATTTAGGAAGCTTTATTGATTTTTTTATGAAGTATTATTACTCCCTCCATTTCACAAGAGTGTTATTCTGACATTTTTCACACTTATTAAGAAAACTATTAAAAATACTACTTTACCCTTTATTAATACATTAAATAACTTTTTTTCTCTAATTAATACATTAAATTAATAGGGTTAAAACTGGAATATTGTTTAAAATTCTGCATTGAAAATATAAAACGACACTTTTTGTGAAACAAAAATAAAACATTAAAACGACATTCTTTGTGAAACGGAGGGAGTACAAATTTAAGATAACCTTCTTAAATTTTTAGGATGTATTTTTATTTTTTTTTTTGGTCGAAAGGATGTATTTTTATAAGTTTAGAAAAATCCTCCTAAATCATATGTTCACTACTGCTTGGTCAAATAAAGATTTAGAAAGTATTCTTATAAGTTTAAAGGTTTTTGAAAAAAATTATGAATCATTTCTAAGATTTTTATAACCAATGGAAACTTTGAGAGTTATACAAACCCTTACTAGTGTTTTAGGAAGCTTTTCAAACGTTTTAGAAAGCTTTTTAAAACATTTAGGAATGTTTTCCTTAATATTACTGATGTCTTACTAAAAAGAATTTGTGAAAGCATTTATAAATTTTATGAAGCTTTTGAATTTTTAGGAGGTTTTTTACAAAATTTTGAAATGTCTTCCTAAATGTTTGGTAAGTTTTACTAATAAAATTAGAAAATTCTGTTAAATATTTAAGAGGTTCTTTGTTTTATTATATTTTTTATTTAATGTTTATGCTTCAAAGTTTTTTTTTCTATATGTATAGAGTGGAAAATAGCCAAAGGAGAAGAAAGACAAGCTCAAAGCTATGCTGAAAAGCAAACTCAAACCATTTGTGAAAACACGAACAGATTAATTTATTGAATACAAATTTTAGAAAGATCTTGCTAAAATTTGTATGAATTCTTCATAAATATCTAGATGTGCTTCCTAAATTTTGGAAAGCAGTTTTGAATTGTTAGGAAAGCTTCTTACAAATTTGGGAAAGGCCTCCTAAATCATATGTAAACTGTATGTCTGAATTTTTATTAAATCATATATTTACCAGATAAAAAGTTAGGAAGTAATTCTAAAATGCTAGAAAGGTTTTCCTAAAAATTTAAAAAGTTTTTCTAATGTTTGAAAAAATCCTTTAAAATCATTTAGGAAATCCTTCTAACTTTTGGAAGACCTTACAAAAATTTGCAAGTTTAATATTGCAGAGTCTGAAATGTATGTAAGTTTAATATACATAGCAAAGTCATCTCTATGAACTTTTATGCAGCAACCAAAATTTCAGTTGGTCAAAACAATGTAGTCTGGGTCTATGTTCTAACCTAACAAAAAATAGATATACTGAGAACAGCAAGACAGCTTCCAATAAAAGAAGAAGACAAAGACAACACAGAAACTATCACAACCACGAAAGAAAATCATGGAAAAAGAACGTAATCTCAATACATGCTAGATAACACTGAATAAATGTCTCCTAAATGTTTCAAAATTTCTAGTAACTTTAACATGTTTACAGAGTATTTCTAATGTTTTAAGAAGCTTTTTAAACGTTTAGGAAGTCTTTTAAAACTCTTAGGAATACTTTCCCAAATGATACAAAATTCTTACTAAAATGATTTATGAAGACTTTCTACGGACGTCATTTTGATAGTCTAAACAAATTTCTGGTTGTGACCAGCAAATGCAAGCTCTCGTTGTGTTCACAGAACTAATTCATATTGTTCCCTTAGGATATGTAAGTTCTGGTCTAGTTGCTTTTAGGAAAGTCCGTCATTACAAACACATGAACTGGACATGGATTCTTAGAGGTCAAAGATTCTAACTTATGGTTTAAACTCATAAACGTGTTCTTCCTGGATTATTGAACTGACCATCTAGCAGTCTAAGCTGCGTACATATATTGGTTTCCAAAACAAAATTTCTTTTCAGCACTCGTTATCTCTTGAACAAAAGGAAAGATATTGACTTTCTCAAACAAAGACTTTGTCTGGAACACTTGAAGATTTATATACATTTCAGAGCTTTTGTATAGAGAGCCTTTTCTTCTTAAGCTTCTCATCAAGCTGGAAGGAATCTAATCTTCCATCAGAATCTTTATTTTGTATACATTTATCTACATTACCACAAACTCCAGATAACAAATTGCCACACTGTGTCCAGGATTCGTAAGCCTGAGATTCTTCAGATAATTCACCAGAGCATAGAGTATCCAAGTAACACCTTAAAGTAGAGATGCAAAGAAGCTGAGATCAATGACCCGAGCAGCCGAAGAAGAAATCCACTACGAAATGTCACAATTTCAGCGATAATATTTGTGATAAATCACACTGAATAATCACCAAATCCCAACCAAAACAAGAGATTTTGCGAGATTGAAGCCATAGCTATTAGGATTTGGTGGAAACAACAAATCTCCGGCACGAGAAGATGCGACGATTCGAAAACCAGCTACCACAATCACATCAATTAGTGGTGATTGATCGGCGATGGTGGTGACACCGATGAAGAAGTGTTGTCGTCGATGAGATTGTAGAGGAGGATTGATTTTTTTATTATTATTCACGCTTTAATAAAAGGAATGCTTTTTTTTTTTTTTTTTTTTGTCGTCGTTCGTATTAAACGAAAGTCCAAATGGAAAAGCAGAGTACAACATCACATAATAGGCCCAATACAACAAAATCAAACTAAGCCCAATGACCAACTACAGTCCATCGACACGTGTTACAATACGTGTATCACATACACCGACTTGAGAAACACGTGTGAGGCTGAGAAGTGATGTTGATGCAGCGCCACTCCGTCGCCGCCGGCGTCCTTCACCGTCAACGCTTGTAGCATACCGATCACTATGGCACTGCTATTACCACTGCTTCGGTAAACACGCTCTCCGAGACTGTTCAAGCCAAATCGACGCAAATCAACCACCACGATTCACAACTTTTACGAGAAACCTTCATCCAACGCCGATTACGGCCCCAACAAGGGTATGAAGGATTTACTTTCGCTGATTAGGAATCGAACAAACCTGTGGACTCATGGATGTCACGATCTCACTCAGGATTATCTCCAACGAAGATAGTTAAGATCTTGCAGAAGTAAAAGAAAATAAAACAACCAAACAAAACAAAAACTAAATCCGAATATGGTCGGAAGAAAAGAAATCCGATAAACGGAAATTATTAACCGAACTAGGTCAAAAGGGAGAAAGTTTCTCTCTCTGAAAGATACGGGAGGGTGAAGAGGAATGCTAGATTTGTCAAATTGAAGAATAGAAGCTTTTTATGAAAAAATTTAGTTTCTTAGGGTTATTTTTAAGAATTGCCCATTTTTTTTTCTGCTAGAAACCACTACAATTTTTGTCGAAAAACAAAACCACTATATCAAGGCAAAAAAAAAATCAAAACTTTTTGTTCTTGTCTCTGCTAGAAACCACTAGAACAAGAGCAAGGCATCACAGCTATATCGTCTCCTTATCTTAAACGATATTTCGGTGAACCCTTAACAAGATTTCGACGAGATTAAGATATGTTCTTCTTCTTCGTTGGTGGATTAGGCCAACAGGTGAGGCAGGTGCTGAAATCCGGCGCCGGTAAATGTATAAGATGCGGCTCTGAAGCCGATTTAGTCGATTACGACAAAGTCGTGAAGCTGTTCTTCGTTCCTGTCTGGAAATGGCCAGGGAAAGATCCTCTACTCCATTGTAGAGAGTGCGATCTGTTTTTCCCTCAGTCTCTATCACCACCAGTCTCTCTAGCTACGTGCCGTTTCTGTGATCGAGCCGTTGAGCCTGATTTCCGTTTTTGCCCCTTTTGTGGCTCTTCTATGTGAAAATCTTAGTCTGTACTTCAAGTCTGCAAATTTGATCTTATCTCTCTTAAGATGTTTTGTATTTATGTCTGCAAGTTTGATCATGTCTCCAAACTCTCTGTCCTGATGTCTGATATTCAATTTCTCATTCACTGTACACAGGAAAAATGAATAACAAGTAATTTACAGTGGATGTTTCTTTTCTTCTTATCTACGCAAAACTATTTGTTTCATCGTCTTCAAAAGATGAATCCACCAACTCCAGAATCGTTTACTCGGCCAAGCTTCTCCGCTGCGGCGAGAACGATCCAGATAAACAACCTTAACACATTTCTTCTAAGGTTGCTAGTGAAACTTCAAACGTCGCTGAAACATTTAGATTTTATCTTTTCAAATAACAGTTAGCTGGAGAAGGGTAATTTATCATCGCCACGATCTACCGCGTTCCTCCATAGTCTATACCGAACTCCGAGCTTATCGTAAGCAACAGGCAAGTTCCATATGTTTGCACCATTCAACATCCGTTCTTGTTGTCCTAAAACCAGTCTCAGATCTTCGTTTAAGACCTGTAAAACAGAGAAATGATGAGAATGCGATGGTATCAAGAATGCTCCTATATTCGTTTGTTCTTTACTTTACCTGTTCAGCGAAATGTCTCCAGAGATGTTCCATGAATGGAACATTCTTCAATATAGGAGCAAAGTCTAGAGACATTCGGTATAGAAGTCTTGTCTTGTTTCTTGAAGATGGTAAACAGACATGGAGTTGATGAAGATGTGTTGCACACTGCTTAGTGCTCTTTCCTTCTAGTTTCCCTGGCTTGGAGATCCCGATTGTCGATAACACAATACAAGGCGGTTTAAATTCCATATCGATTGGATACGGATCCCAGTATCCTTGTAGACCGGAGGATGGCGTCAAGAACTTCACTAGACTGCAGTAGAAAATAGACAAAAGCTAGAGATAAACCGATTCATCTTACCAATGAACAGAGTAATGAGAGTAAAAAACAAACCTTGGGACACTCCAGCCTTTTGCAAAAGTAGATGTGTGAGTGAATGGAGCATGTGCAAGATCCAAGAGATTATCTAGAAGCAATCCGTGTTCCACAGGGAGGTCCATTACAAGCTGAAGTTTTGTAAGAAACAAATAAGCAAATTGCTGGATTCATAATGAGATGATTTGATAGGATCTACAAGAACTACCTCTGCATGGATTACAAACCCTGAAGGAGGTTGTAAAGAAGGAAGAGTAGGTGAAGGTGGATCATCACCGGGCCAGACCCAGATCATTCCGTCTTGTTCAAGACAAGGTATCGACTTTATCTTCACATTCAATAGCTTCGTAGATGGCATCTTTGTACATTTTCCATCGGTTGAGTATTCCCATCCTACAAGGTCACATTTTGATAAGCTACAAGAATATGGTTTTAAACTTGTTATCAACAAATGCAGAGTATGAGTTACTAACCATGGTAAGGACATTGGATACGTCCCTCTTTCACTGTGCCAAGATCAAGAGGACACGCTCTATGCGCACACGTGTTCCTTACACAACCCGGTTTCCCGTCTTCTCCCCTAAAGATAACCCATGGTTGCTCAAAGCAGTCAATTGGTACCTTAAAGACATAAACAATAGCGTTTCTCAGATGCTTGTAAACAAAGGGAGGATGGACAAAAACCAACGAAGAGTTTCTTACACATACCATCGTGTCATGCTTGAGATCTGCGGTGAAAGCAACGGGATACCAAAAGTTCTTCAATTGTTGACTATAAGGCTGAACAGGGCCAGAAACATTCAAGGTTTTGGCACCAACGTTTGTCTTTTCCTTGTCTAAGTCTTGTACAGAGGTTGAAGTCGAAGGTTTATCTGTTTCCGTTGCAACTCTAACGGGTAACAACCTATCATTAACCAATTTTTCCATGTGAGCTAACTTGTCTAAAGCAGTTGAAACCCTTGCTTCAGATATATGAACCTGTTTCGTTTTGATTAAGAGTTAGACCAAGTTTGAGAATGGGCAGTGGATATAAAAAGTTATCATTCTCAGAGAATAGCATTCTTTTAAGTACCTGTTGGTGTGCTTTCCCTAGCTCTTCTTGCAGTTCCGCTAGTTCTTTCTTCACAGTGCCGATTGACTTGTACTCACGAGCCAGAGGATTAAGTACATCAACGACCTGCCATAACATTCATACCAAATTTAAAATTAAAACACAGCCAATACTAAACATAATGCCATTAAATATTCACCCAAAAAACCAAATATATCGAAAATAGTGCAACATAACAAGTTTTGAAGACATTTGAGTTTTTAAAACTGATCATCCCAATACAATGAGTTAACTAACAAGCTCCTGAAGAACTCATCGTTATACGTCTACTGTATCTAGCCGATGACTGAATGTAGCAGATAAGTCTCTCCCGTTTCATAGCACTCATAAACTCAAGAACGCAACTTTACGAACTTAAAGAATCTCAAAATATTCACTCCAAACTAAAACACAACAAACACTAAACAAAAAACCATTAATGATTCACCGAAATCGCCAAATATCGAAAATAGTGCTACATAAACAACTATTTGAAGACATCTGAGACCAAAAACTGATCTCCAAAAACAATCAGTGAACTAATAAGCTCCTGAAGAACTCATAGCTATCAACTACTGTATCTAGCCTATGACTAAATGTAGCAGATAAGTCAATGTTCTTATCATAAAATCAAGATTGCAATTTTACGAACCAGATAGAGTTAAACAATCTCAAGAGAGGTCAATGTAGATGATACTCAAAAGTGAGAAACAAACCTTTTCATGTAGGAGCATGATTGTAAGAAGATCTTGACGAGCACGCCAATCCAAGTATTGAATATCGAATCTAGCAACTTCAAGAGCTTGATTTACATCCAAGAACTTGCCTTTAAAAGGAGGAGTTTTCGATCTTGGATCCTCAACATCAAACAAAGGTCCCCATTGACTCTTCTTCTCAACTAATCCACCTTCTTCCCCAAACACAGCAAAAACCCTGAATTCTCCTTTCACTCCCTGAAAAACAACAACAATCACCCAAAAATCAAACTTTTATGAAACCACAAGCAAAACCCAAATCCCAGAAACGAAATTAGACACTGATTTTCTAAGTTTTCAAGCTAAAATTTACCTTCTTTCTGCTGAGTTTAGATGATCTAGTTTTACAGAAGGATATAGGAAGAGATAAAGCAGAAGAAGTGAACACGGCGGCGTTCATGGCGTCACCGTAAAGAAAGAAAGGAAGGGAAGAAAGAAGACAATAGAAATCAAATTATAGAAAATGAATTTTTCTTTTATTAATTGAGGATTTTTTTGTTGATAAGAGAAGAGAGTTCCTCGCGATCTGAGCAAGCCTCCGGGAAGATGACACGTATACAAACATCGGCAAGGTAGATGTACACATGGCAGAACTATCATCCACATGATGATGAAGAGGGATTTGCCAGGTCGGATTCTCCAAGATATCTTTGTCTATCTTTGTTGTGAATCCTTGCAAGTTTTTGTCATTATTCCCACTTTAGTTTTGCATCACTAGTTTCTTTTAGTCAAAATATATATAGCTACATGTTTTTTCTTTCTCCTTGTTGGCTCCCAAAATATATATAAAAATATACAGCTACATTTGTCTATACAAAAACGTTTAAAGAGAAGTTAAAATTTAGAGAATTGAGTTTTTTTTTTACCCAGTTGATAGAAACGTATTAAATTGGTTAAAAAATTTCTCTGTGTAAATTTAAATTTTTTACTATTTTTTTTGTTAAAAGACTATAGTAATATTGATATGCTTTGAATCATAAACCGTACTATTTGGCATTGATGTATGTATACTGCATAATCAAACATGTATGTGATGTGTGCAGGTTACACAATTAAGCATGCAAAATACTTGCAGTATGTTAAAGTTTACATGGTGCACCTTGAAGTTGCATGTATAAGCAGTTTATTCATGCCTAAACTGCACATTCTGGTACCGATTAGTATCTGTACTTTTTTGTTGTATCTACACATATCCGAACTATTAATAATTTTTGGTTAAATCATGCATTGACTCATAACCCAATAGTCAACTCTGTCAAATTGTTAACAGAACTGACTCACCTGTCACGTTGGAATCTTCATAGGAAGTAAAACATGATGCGACATCGTTTTGCATAATTCTAGAAAAAAAATTTGGCAGGTTTGAGGAAACGAATTCTGAACCTTCCCTCATTAAACCAAGCCCAGAAACCAGTAGATCAGATGTATTTCTTAATGATATAATGCACATTAAACAATTTAAATAATCCCACCCCTATTATTAAAAAATAAACCGCTCTTCGTCGCCTTATTCTTCCTCATGCCTCTTTCCTCTTCTCTTCCTGTAACTCTTCTCACTCTCTTGTTTTATCCTATTCGATCCATCTCCTTCCTCCACCGTCTTCTCCAGGTACTCGTATTGATTAAACTCCATTTTCGTCAAAGATACGACAATTTCTTCAATTTGAGTTTTTGTTAGGGTTTTGAATCGGAAAGAAGTAAGTGAAGGAAACTGGAAATTTAGCTCCTCATGTTCGATCGATATCTAGAAGATGGCGACAATTAGTAAATTCCAAAAAATAGTACTTCGCAACACAACAACATAAGAATTGGGCCTAAAATAGTACCAAGAAAAATCCCTTCCTCTAGATTGATTTTTAATAACAGGGATAGGATTATTTACATTGTTTAATGTGCGATAGATCATTAAGAAATACATATGGTCTATTGATAACACCGTATTTGTATCCATTTACACTATTGATTTCAAATGCTTTTTCAAAGGTTTTAATTAGTTTCAAGAACTTTTAGTATAGGTTTTCTATGTTTGTAGTTTGTAGTTTCAAGACTCTTTTCAGGAAACTTAGAGAAAAACATGGCACAATGGACGAAATCCACATTTTTAGCTCAGAGTCAGACCATTAGAAGTCCAGCCTCAAATAAAGATCTTCTAACCGTCTGATCCCGCTCAAATTTGGAGACATTCAAGAGGAACCAACAAGCTTTCGATAACACTTTACATCAGGACAATCCAACGGTGCAATCAAAAGATATGTGAAGAGAAAGTTGATCAAATTCACCAGTCCCGGAAGAATCTCACCCGCGGTGGAACTATGCCGAGGT